AAAAAAAAAAAAAAAGAAAAAGATAAGGAGCCATTTAGTTTACCTTTGGTTTTTGGGGCAGGGATTAGGATTACATGGATCCTTTGAGATGCACGATCCAAACTCAAACTGATGGTCTTGGAGGCCCACACAGCGAGCAATGCAGGCGCTGGGGTAAGTGCGTCCATTCTGCCCACACACGGGGACAAACTGATCTGCACAGTTACAGGGCAGACCTGTGGAGAGGATACAGACTCACTGATGGGCACTTGTACATTCCCTTGCCCCTCATATTTCCTAATTAACATGGAGGTCTCAAGTTAAAACAGAATTGTGAATTGAGTCAGGAAAAAGCATCACTCCAATCCCTGACTGTTTTTACAGGTGGTGAGGCTCTGAAAAGCCATTTGTCTGCATAATGGCTTTCCTTTGTTCCATTTATTACCACCTAATTGAGGGTTTCCTGGCCTTGATCCCAGGGGTAGAAACCCATGTAAAAAAAGCTATAGGTAGGAGAAGAATGCTCCTCTCAATTTAGTATGTATAAAATATGTATAAAGTATGGCTTGCGGGATCTCTGGAATGTTAAAGGGTAATACCAAAAGAACAGGAAGGTAACTTGGGAAATTACTTAAATTTTGAGACTTAAAAATTTTTATGAGTAATCAATCAAGAATAGTACTTTCTTAACATTCCTATGCTTTATGCTGCTGGGATTATGCTCCAGTAAGTAAAAAGGCTACTGAGAAGCGATGCTTTTTTCTTGAGAGACAGCTATAGTTGTTAACAGCAACAGCACAGTCTCTGGGTATCTATTGGTAGATGCTTTTCTCCAGATCTGGAATACCTTTGATTCCAGGTAAAGAGAAACCAGGTAGCCTCCTTTACCCCATTTCATGCCATTGCAGCAGCAAGTTGATTCTTCTTTCCCTGAACTTAGTTACACGTGGAGTGGGGTGGGAGGAGGATAGATTAGGGATTTGCCAACCTTGTACCTCCAGCCCACTGGAAATAAAAAGGAAATCAGAAGTAAGAAGTGAACAGCAGGCTGCTGGGGAAGTAAAGGCAGGACTAACTCCACCCCACCCTCTCTCCACCTTGAGTGTCACTCTTGATGCTTTATTGTCATCATTGTTATTCTTATTATTATCCTCTATCTGCTCTGCTTTGATGAGAGCAGTTCATTCTGCTTAGAGAGACCATAAAACCATGTGGGAATGAAGAGTGAACTAAAGACTTACACAGAAGACTACTTACTTATTTATATCTAAATGTTTTTGGAAGATGAACTTTACAACTAGCAGGACCCTTTTCCCTGTAGTGCACAGTCCCTCATGTTCTGGAGTAAATTAAGTTAGTGACTGTTTAGCTAGCAGATTCTAAGGAGATTTTACTGGCCACAAAGTGTACCACATTTCTTGGGACTCAGATATTGTCCCAGCCCAACAAGACGTTCATAAAAATGCTTAAGTCTCAAAATTACAATAATTTGCAAGTTACTTTCTTGTTCTTCCTCTTCCCTAATGAGATGAGAGTGGAAGGAGCCTACATGAAGAGTTTACAATCTTTCTTTGTCTTGTTTTCGGTATTAATTACCCTTTGACATTCCAGAAATCCCCTAAGCCAGACTTCAAACATCTAAATTCTAGATTAAAAAGAAAAAATTTTTTAATGTTTTTATTTATTTTTGAGACAGAGAGACAGAGCATGAACAGGGGAGGGGCAGAGAGAAAGGGAGACACAGAATCTGAAGCAGGCTCCAGGCTCTGAGCTGTCAGCACAGAGCCCAACATGGGGCTCCAACTCACAGAGCGTGAGATCGTGACCTGAGCTGAAGTCAGACGCTCAACCGACTGAGCCACCCAGGCATGCCATAATTCTGGATTTTATACAGTACATTGGAAGGAGGATTCTTCTTTTTCTACCTATAGCTTTATAGGGGTCTCTACCTAATGAACCAGTAAGCTAAGGCAGTTCAGGGAAGAAGGTGATGAGAAAAACATTAGAACAGAAATAAACTTAGAAAATACATGGACATTTTATAACATAATGGTAGAGGCATTACTCCTGAAATCATTGTTGCATCATGTTCCAACTAACTTGAATGTAAATTAAACAATAAACAAATTAACTAATTTTTAAAAATTAGCAGTAAAACACACACACACACACACACACACACACACACAATGGTAGGGGGAGATGAGGTATTTTGGCAGGTAGAAAAGTCCCATTTAACCAAAACCATCCCAATCACGGACCCTGTTCATTTTGACTCATAGAATTCAAGAATATTAGAGCTGGAAGGGTCCTAAGAAAACATTTAGTTTAATGCCTTCAGTTCATAGAGGAGGAAACAGATCCAGAGAGGAAAAGTACCTTGCTCTCGGATTATGTATTTATCTTACTAGGTACATCTGTGGTTATGGCAAGACCATCAAAGCTGCCTTGAAGGGAAACGGGTACAAAGAGATGATGGCTGCTGGGGATAGGTTCTGGGTGACCATGGTTACCTGTGAAGGTGCGACGGTCATCTTCTGAACTGTGCTCACTGAGGCACAGGCGGGTAGAACACACCAAATTGCCAGCAAAACAAGAACAGATATTGCAGTCAATGTTAAAGGATGTCCCATGACCTGAGAAAAAGAGACATAAAATGTTGATCTATTTCATGCATTTATAAATAAATCATAAATTAAAAATGCAATAGTTTAAATTTTTTTTTTTAACATTTATTTTTGAGACAGAGAGAGACAGAGCATGAACCGGTGAGGGTCAGAGAGAGGGAGACACAGAATATGAAACAGGCTCCAGGCTCTGAGCTGTCAGCACGGAGCCCGACGCGGGGCTTGAACTCACGGACTGTGAGATCATGACCTGAGCCGAAGTCGGCCGCTTAACCCAGGTGCCCCTAAATAAAAATTTAAAACAAATTCTTGAAAGATCACTTCTGAATATACAAACAGGGGAGTTAAATCTGTAATATTTATATTTTAATATTTAACTCCCACCATATCCCTCCAAACCCCTAATGTGCTAGTCTAACTAGACGGCTCCCTATTCTCTGAGAATGCTTTTGGCTGTCCCTTCTGCCTCAAATGGTCCTCTCCTCCTTCTGGAACTTTGCTCAACTTTCCCGAACCAGCCCTGATGCCATCTTTGAATCAAAGACTCTCCTGATGCCCTGGCAGGAGTGACTAGGTCCTTGAAGAGCACCACTTGGTTTGCTCCCTTCTGTGGATCACATTCTCCCTCATCTGATCATGTACGGTATGACCTCAGTCCCTCATGCGATTTTAGCCCCAAAAGGCACTAGTATGTTCTTCTGTAAAAAATATGCATTTAATCAGTGGAAATCTATGGAAGGAATGTTTACCCTCAGAAATATTCTGTGATACAAGGTACCTACCCTACACTTTGGCTAAGTAGAATATGGATTAAAAAATGAATACTTGGGGGTGCCTGGGTCGATTAAGTGTCCAACTCTTGATCTTGGCTCAGGTCACGATCTCATGGTTTGTGAGATCGAGTCCAAGTCAGGCTCTGTGCTGACAACATAGAGTCTGCTTGGGATTCTCATTCTCCCTTTCTTTCTGCCCCTACCCCACTCACTTTCTCTCTCTCTCTCAAAAAAATAAAGTTAAAAAAAAAGAATACCTGACTTGTTCTAGGGCAGACACTTGCAGTCCCTTTTTAGCCAAAAGCACCCTTCTTTCTAATAAGATCTCACGCAGAAGAGTAAAACCAGGAGTTATATAAAAGCTGAACTACTCTGATCGATGGGGATGGGGGTGGAGATAGGGATGAGGGTAGCAGAGTGAACAGCTGTGGGGGAGTACATTCTCAAAAGTAGCATTTTTTTTTCCCCACAATTTTTAAGGTCATATATCAGTTGTTAGGGCTATAAGCAAAAGATGATTAAAGTAGCAGTGAGAAAGCAAGACCCTCAGACTTTTAGAGAGGGCATCAAAGGGTGTTTTTTTATTTTTCTTCCAAGACTTTATTTATTTATTTGGAGCAAGCGTTAGGGAGGGGCAGATGAGGAGGGAGACAGAGGAGAGAGAGAATCTTAAGCAGTCTCCATGCCCAGTGTGGAGCCCAATGCGGGCTGGATCTCATGACTGTGAGGTCAGGACCTGAGCCGAAATCGAGAGTTGGACACTTAAGGGGCGCCTGGGTGGCTCAGGCGGTTAAGCATCCAACTTCGGCTCAGGTTATGATCTCATCGTTCCCGAGTTCTAGCCCTGCATTGGGCTCTGTGCTGACAGCTCAGAGCCTGGAACCTGTTTCGGATTCTGTGTTTCCCTCTCTGTCTCTGCCCCTCCCCCACTTGTGCTCTCTCTCTCTCTCTCTCTCTCTCTCAAAAATAAATAAACATAAAAAAAAAGAGTTGGACACTTATGGCTGAGCTACCCAGGTGTCCCCAAGATTTTACTTAAATTCAAGTTAGTTAACATATACTGTAGTGTTTGTTTCAGGAGTAGAATTTAGTGACTCATCACTTACATATAACACCCAGTGTTTGCCACAACAAGTGCCCTCCTTAATGCCCATCACCCATTTAGCCCACCTCCCATCCATCTGCCTCCAGCAACCCTCAGTTTGTTCTCTATTGTTAAGAGTCTCTTATGGTTTGTCTCTCTCTGTTTTTATTTTATTTTTCCTTCCCCTATGTTCATCTCTTTGGTTTCTAAAATTCCATATATGAATGACCTCATGGTATTTCTTTCTCTGATTGGCTTATTTCACAGCATAATATGCTCTAGTATATGCTTTCCATTGCAAATGGAAAGACTCCAATCTTTTTGATGGCTGAGTAATATTCCATTGTATGTATATAAAAGGGTGGCACTTCATAATGTGCTCTCTCCCAATGCTTAGTCAACAGTGTAGTTTCCATCCTCCAGTTCGCTTTCCATGACGTCAAACTCTGACTTTTACTTCTGTTAAAGACACACACTTGAGAAGAAGGAGCACACCTGTGTCCTTGCCTGTGGAGTACACGGGCTCTAGAGTCAGATAGGCCTGGGACTGAATTCTGTTTTGTCACTGACTAGCTGGGTGATCTCTCTGAGCATCAGCTTCTTCATAAGAGTACTGAAATCAAAGAGCAATTGGGAGGCTCACATGAGATAACACAGGCCAAGACTTAGCATAGTGCTTGGCACACAACTAAAAGCTCAGTAAGTACTAATTAATTATTATTAGTCATTAGTCTCTTCGTGAGGAGGCTCCTAAGAGGGTTCCTTAGAAGTCCTAGTGTCCTATAGAGTACAGTTTGAAAAATACTGCCCTGGAGATCTGATGTATAGACCTTACTCTATGGTGGGAATCTATCCAATGTCCATCCTACAAAATTAAGATAAATAATCTCATATTAAAAACAAAAAGCAAATAAATACAGTCCAAGACTCACTTTTTCTTTTTCCTCCAACAATACATGACTTCTGGAGATCTATACAGTGCATCTCCATACAGTTTTCCAAGAGTCCACTTTGTCCACATGAGCAAATTTTGTAACAACCAACTTCCCCTGCAGATGATGGCACCTGGATTAGTGTCCCTTGACGGACGATGAAATCAGAGGCTTCTCCCAATTTGCAACCTATACAAACAAAAATTAGCTGAGAGAGATGGCATTGTTCAATGTCATTGTTTTATGATATTACATATACACTTTACACAAGTCTTATAGGTATGTGTGGCTATTAAAGATTATGTAATAGAAATTCCACTAAGTTAAAGAATTGGTTTGGTTTACTGACCAAAACATATTCTCTCAAATGAAAAATTCCATGTTCCATGAGAAGGTGCTGATTAAGGACCTATACTCCAAAGGCAGCTATAGCTCAGTACAAAAATGCCATAAGATATGTACTTTTTTATTGCTTTGGGCTTATCAAAGATATTTAAAATCACAGATACTTTAAAAATAGACTATGGAAATGTACATTATTTTTAGAATATTCTTCTTGGTCAGGAAAACTTTTAGCGATGGAATACCAGCATACCTTAAAGTCAATGAAAAGTTGAATACTTGATTGGGCTTAAGGAAACCCATACATTTCCAATTTTAACAAGATTTATCATGACTGCATTACTGATATATTCTGGTATTACACAAATATTATAGATGATCCTTTGAGACATCAGGCTTACTTAATTCAATATTCTATTCCTTTTAACTTCACAGAAATTTTTAAATGGTGATTTTAACATGATAAACATTTTCAATTGGGAAATAGATAAAGGGCAGCAAAATATTGCCATGACTGTACTCTAAAGGGATGCCCAAAGAGATAAAGACTATCAAAATTATTCTATAGGATAAACATTTTTTATTCAAGAGGCCTCCTGCATTTCAAAAAAAAAATCAGTCTTAAAATCATATGTATCTTGGGGCACCTGGGTGGCTCAGTTGGTTAAGTGTCCCACTCTTGATCTCGGCTCGGGTCATGATCTCACAGGTTTGTAAGATTGAACCCTACATTAGGCTCTGTGCTGACAGTGCAGAGCCTGCTTGGGGTTCTCTCTCTCCCTCTCTCTGCCTCTCCCCCCTTCAAAATAAATAAATAAACTTTAAAAAAATCATATGCATCTCAATAAAACATCAAGCTTTTCAGAGATAACTGTACATCCCAATGAGTATGCCATTTCTCCTTATAACTAAAGCAAAGAAAGACAAAATCACAACGTGCAGTACATTTTCTCAAATGTTACAACATGGCAGAGAATTTATAAAAATTGGCTCAAGGTTTTTTATTTTTTTGTTTCCAAGAACCCTATAACTCATTATGAGAGTCAGTTCACAATCTAAATGATAATTGAAAATTACATTTGTATTTGTCTTCTCCTGCCTATGTAACTAACGTGTTTATTGGGAAAACCTCAAATGTTATAGAAAAACATAATTTTGAAAATAAAGTCAATTGCGACCTCACTCCAAAGATAATGCCTATACAGAAACATCAGCAGCACAAATCCATACCCACCCTACACTCACACCCATCTACCTCTTACCTTGAACACAAGAGTATGGAAGGCAGGGATCTCCAGATGGACACCCCTTCCGGTTTACCTCACAGAGCTCATTAGCAGGGCAAGGATTTGGGTTACAGGGATGAGTGACCTCTTCTATAATGTTACCCAAAGTACTAGGCCCTGAAAAACCAAACACAGATCAGTTTAACCAACCCCAAAAGGTAACAGAGGTCTGTAAATTACCTGAATTAACTATGACTTTAATAAATGGAGAGCTCATGAGCATAAAGTGAGGCCTGATTCTAATAAACTATTAAAACACACAGATTCTCTGATAATTTGTGAATTTAGCATAAACATACATACATTCATTCACTTGTTTATTTATTGGGTACCTACAATATGCTGGACAAGCTTCTAAACACTTGTGCACATGTGTTTTCATGCGTATAAATAAAAAAGGCACCTACTGATAGGTAATAAGTTGTATAAAGGGATGGAAAATGACTGGTATACTTTGGGTAAGGTGTTCAAACAGGTGCTTATGCCTAAGAGGAATAACTTGGCACATTTTACCATAAACTATAATAACTCACCATGGTAAGATAGATGCTGTACCATGATTATATTTGTTAACTTGTGAAATAATGACTAAGGAACAGTCTCATGTAATATTTAAAGAGAGTACTAAAACTTAAAAAAAAAACCCATTTCTTTAACCTTTTTCCTTCTGCACATATATTTCACTGCTCTAATAAGGTCTAGGCTTGTGGAGGTATTAGTTTTGCTTACTTGATTTTAGGCCAGACTCAGACTGTTAGCTAATGAAGGTATCAGGGTTCTTGGAGTTCATCACATCCAGCCCAATCCTTTTATAAACAGCAAAGCTGAGGCTGAAAGAAGTGATCTGTTCGAAGTCACAGAGGTCTAGATTCTGGCCAAGGCTCTCTTTTTCGCTATACTGGTCATGAAGGCTGAGGGACATAGTTTATTGGCTTTAGGAAAGTGTGGCTGATATCATTAGCTGCAAATCTAACAGATTTGGATACTCTTTTCTTCCTGCTCACTAATAATAGAATTCCAGTTTTGCTTAGCATGACAATGGGCCCACAGCTAAAAAGATCATCTTTCTCAGTTTCCCTTACAGCGAGGGCGGTTTTCCCTTACACTAGGATATGGTGGCTAGAGTTCCAGGAGTCATGTTGTGACGATAAAGTACCTGAAGTAACCTTGATGATGGAAACCAAGCACTAACGAAGGCACGGAAAGCAAAAGAGCCTGGACTCTGGATGGTGGAGCCACTATAACAGCCTTGGACTACTTATTTCTGGGTTTTCTTTTACTTCTACCTGTTTTTCTGTTATTTGCGGTAGAACTTAGTCCTATCTGACACAGGAAAACAAAAAAATTAGGAGCTGGATCCAAGTCTGCCTTTCCAGCCAGCTCGGGACACGAATGCCCCCTGGCGGCAGCACAGACACTTTCCTTACCCTGACTATCGCATTTGGTGTGTTTATGGGTTCTACTCATCATCCCTCTGGTTTCCACGACACATGGTCACCTCCTGCCAAGAAGCTCAGCACCATGACCCCTCAATGAGATACCAACTTATTCTTCTAGCTCTTGGCTTGGCTCTTGGCAGGAGTATTTCGGCATAGACAAAGTTCCACCTTTATGTACTAACACAGACCATCGTTTCTTACTCCCTATTTGGTGGGTCAGTCTCAGCCAATGCCTGGCTCTGGTCCACTAATATTCTGATGACAAAAAGCTGAAGATTCCCTGGGGAAATTTCACTTCCTGGACAAATCATGGCAAGGAGACAGCAATGATATGGAGCTGGCCCCATATCTAAGAATGCTGGCCCCAAATTCACTACTTAGAATTCCTGATTGATAATAGTTTATTACTTCCTCAGACTGATAAGATAATCACTTGTGCTTATATATTTTAAGATGACAATTCTTTTCAGGCCAAAAAGGCCAAGCAAATAAGATAAGAGTCTGCCATTGAGATAGTATCATTAAACCACATATTCTCAACAGACAGATGTTCATCCAAATCAAACATGAAGGGCAGAGATGGAAGGGAGAAGTATTTGAAATCTAAAAAAACAAAGAACTTACTGAGGTATGTATCCAAAGGTATACAATTCTCTAGGTCATCTGTAGGTGACAAAAGCTCACAAATACTTTCAGCTGTGTGGTCCTCGGGGAATTTGTTCTGGTCCCCACATTTCTTGAGAATCTCCACACAATCTGATCTTAAAAAGAAAAATATACACAAATTTGGGGTTCAAGAACCTCCTCATATTGTCTAATCAATATCAATCCTGTTTCTGAAGCTTTCCAGAAGGTGAGTTTTCATAACAATGTTTCACAATTGGTTAGATCAAAGTAACGGCAAAAGAAAACAGGAGTCACAGAAGACCTGAGGTTGCATAGTAGTAAGTAATGTATTATAGTATCAAAGCATCCGTAGCTTTCTCTTACCTGAGATCAAAGGCCTTGCTCAAATTTTACACTCATACAGTTACTAGTATTGATGTGACTTGTCCCTTCTTTGAAAGGAAATTAAACTAGGCTTTTTGCAAAATCATCCATCCTTTCTTTTAGGACCTTAGGCTTGCTTGCTTTTTCTTCCCTCCCTTCCTCCTTCTCTCCCTTTCTCTTTTTAAATATATTTTTAGTTATCAACATTAAGGTGTTTGGCCTGTAACAACTGGAAGTACACTACTTTAAAATTTTCTCAATCCTCCAAAGGGATTTGATTCCTTTTCTATAAATTTTCCATACTAAGAGTCTATAAATTTCCCACTGGTTGCCTCTAGCTTGTTGCCCCTCACTTTCCCCCTTACTCAGGTGATCCCCAAGTCATGCCAGAGAATTGATCTGGATTCTGTTTAAGGTTGAAATAATCTTCAATCAGTCATCAAGTTCCAAGGAGCACCAAGACGCACACCAACATCTTAGGGGGTGGACATTAACCTGGTCTTTAGGAAAGTTTTTTGGAAAAATAGATGATTGAAGATCAGCTGGCATAGATTACTATGTATGTGGCCAATACTTTTGGTTTCACTCAGTATAGCAGCTTTCCTCTTTACTTCATCCTAGATCTCCTAAGCAAACCACTCACAAAATGTTTACTAGAAACAGGCCTCGATGACTACATTCACTAATTCCTTCACTCATCAAACATTTATGGAGCACCTATTGTGTGTCAGGATTATGTTAATCACTGAAGAGGAGAAAAAGAGGAAAGAGGAGACAAGAAAAAGGAGGCACAAAGAAGAATAAACTCAAGGAGAGCAAAGTCTAACTAAATATAAGACAAGTATAGGGGCGGCTGGGTAGCTCAGTTGGTTAAGCGTCTGACTTTGGCTCAGGTCATGATCTTGCGGTAGGTGAGTTCAAACCCTATGTCCGGCTCTTTGCTGACAGCTCAGAGCCTTGGAGCGTGCTTCAGATTCTGTGTCTCCCTCTCTCTCTGCACCTCCCCCACTCTCATTCTATCTCTCTCTCTTAAAAAATAAACATTAAAAAAAAGACAAGTATACAAACTAAAATATAAAAATAGAATTGTGTATTGAAGGTATTCACTAAAGTTTCTGGAACTAAATTGCATAAGAAAAGTTCAGATAAAGGTCTATAAATATTTGTAGTAAGGATAAATTACTATTAGCTGGTGAAATATGGGAAGGTTCCACGGGAATGATGGGCATTTGAGAGGAGCTAAGAAACACAGGCAGTGGGCAAGTGGAGATGGAAGAGTAATTCAAGCAGAGGAGGAAAAAGTAGGAAAGCACTTGACATGTGGGGTGATGGGCAAACGAAGTGGCAGGAGGGAAAACTCTAAAGATAGGCTGTGGTTCAGATCATGGTCTGAACCAGGACTGGAGGGTCAACTTACTTGCAGATAATACTTCCCCGGGATTTCCTATGACAAGGTTTAATCTGCAGTGAACAAGCTACTGCTTTCCACATTTCTGGCTGGCACTTCTTAATGTCAAGAACAGGTATGTTGATAAACGGCATCTTTATGCTTCCTTTCTCCCACAGCTTCATGTCATTCATGGCTCCTTGATCTGACTGAGCATTACAACTCCTAAAAAGTTCTGTTGGCCTGAAAAGCAAAAAGGCCAGAATCGAGAGGCAATTATTTTCTAGAGAGAAGATATGGGTAAAATCCTGACATACTAATGCATCAGGAAAACCTGATTTTTTTAAAGAAAGTACCTATGATGTATCAAAGGATATCAGCTTTGCATGTATGGAGATTCAACGTAGACACATTAAGATTTTGACTGCATCTTTCCTTTTTAACAAAAGTTAAAAACTTAAACACTCTGTATGGGACTATCATCTCTAGACTGTATCATTTCTTTCATATTACAAAATAATGAGTCCAGGTTTTAAAAACTGAGGTATAATTTATAAAAAGACAAAAAAAAAAAAAGCATTTTCATCATGTCAGAAAGCTCCCTTGTGTCCCTGTCTAGTCAATGCCCTCCCCACTGACTATACCCCAGAGGCCACCTCCATTCATACTTATCTAGAACTTTATATATAAATGAAACATATTGTATATGCTCTTTTGGGTCTGGTGTCTTTGGCTGAACAATTTTTTTAGATTTACCTTTGTTATGTATATCATAAGTTGTTGTTTCCTTTTACTGTTGAGTAGCATTCCGTTAATAAATGTACCACAATTTGTTTATCCTAGTAGTTCTCAAACTTTTGATCTCAGGACCCATTTACACTCTTAAAATTACTGCATTCTCAAAAAGCTTTTGTTTATGTGGGTTACAATCACCAATATCTATGACATTATAAATCAAAACAGACCTTTTGATTCGTAGTTCTTAATTCATTTAAAAGGATAAGCCCATTACATGTAAGAAATAATGTTTTTGTGAAACATAACTATATTTTTCAAAGCAAAACTAAATTTAGTGAGAAGAATAGGACTATTTCACAGCTTTGAAAATCTCTTTAATATATGGCTTAATAGAAGACTGCTGGATTTTCATATCTTTTCTTGACCTCAATCTGTTGTTACATCATGTCTTTTTTTTTTTTAAGTTTACTTATTTATTTTTGGGAGGGAGAGAGAGAATATGTGAGGGACAGAGAGAAGGAGAGAGAGAATCCCAAGCAGGCTCCACGCCGTCAGTGCAGAGCCTGATGTGGGGCTTGAACTCATGAACTGTGAGATCACGTCCTGTGCCGAAATTAAGAGTTGGTCACTTAACCGACTGAGCCATCCAGGCGCCCCAATTACATCATGTGTCTTACAGCACTGGGGAAACACCACTGTTCACTCTTGTGAGAACAAGAGTGAAAAAAGCAGATCACAGCTTAGTGTTATAAAAATAGTTTTGATCCCATGGGGCTTGGGGACCATGGACCACACTTTGAGAAATCCTCATTTATTAATTCACCTGTTTATAGACAAAAAGTTTTGTTTCCAGTTTTCACGTCTCTTCATGCCTAACGAAGAGCATTTGGGGTCATAACTTTCTAAGAAACTGCCAAACTATTTTCCAAAGTGGTCACACCATTTTAGACTTTAAGCCACAACGTATGAAAGTTCCAGCCGCTTTACATGCTTGTCAGTCTTTTTAGTTGTAGATGCAGTTTTAAAAATTGCATTTTGCTGATGACCAGTCACGTCAAACACCTTTTCATGCACTTCCTGGCCATTCAGGTATCTTCTTCTGTGAACTGTCTTTCCAGCTACTTGCCCTTTTTAGAAAAAAGTTGTCTTTTCACTATTGAGTTATAAGAGTTCTTAATATATTCTGGATATAAGTCCTGCTTCAAATATATGTATTACAAATACTTTCTTCCAGTTTGTGGTTGGCCTTTTCATTTTCTTTTTGTAAAATTTTTTTTTAAGTTTATTTATTTATTTATTTTGAGAGAGAGCGAGAGAGAGCATGCAAGTGGGGAAGGGGCAGAGAGAGAGAAAGAGAGAGGATCCCAAGCAGGGTCTGCACCACCAGCACAGAGCCCGATGCAGGGCTTGACCTCACAAACCACAATATCATGACATGAGCCAAAGTCAGATGCTTAACCAACTGAGCAACTGTGGCGCCCCTGCCTTTTCATCTTCTTATTGGTGTCTTTTGATGAGCAAAATTTTAAAAATTTAAATATTTATTTTACTTAGCTAAAATATTTTATTGGGATATAAGTTACAAAGAATATAATGCACAGATCTTGAGAGTTCAGTTAAGTTTTGAAAATTGTATTCACCCCTGTAATCAAAGCCCCAAACAAGATATAGAATATTTCTATCACCTCATAGAGTTCCCTTATGCCCACCTCCAGCCAATTTCCTCTTCCAAAGGCAATAACTTTCTGATCTTTATCCTCATAGATTATTTTTACCTATTCTTGGATTTCATATATATGGAATTATAAAGTCTTTATTTTGTATTGGGCTTTTTTTATTCAACATAAGACTCATCCATATTTTGGGGTTTATCAGTAGTTTGGCCTTTTCCCTTGCTGTGTACTATTCCATTGTTCGGATACACCATGTGTTTTCATTCCCTTCCTGATGTACATTTTATTTATTTTTCCCCAAATTCTGGGTTCTTATGAATAAGGTTGCTATATAAGTCTTTTTTGGAATTAGATTTTCATGTCTCTTGGGTAAATGCTTTAGAATGGGATTGCTGAGTCATGGACTTGACACTGCAAGGAAACTCTTCAAAGGTCTTAAACCATCTTATACTCCAAGCAGGGAAGTATGAGAGCTCCACCTGCTTCATATATTGTCACTCAAAAAAACCCCTTTTTTTAAATGTTTATTTATTTTTGAGAGAGAGCGAGAGAACGAGAGAGCGGGGTAGGGGCAAAGAGAAAGGGAGACACAATCCAAAGCAGGCTCCAGGCTCCAAGCTGACAGGGCAGAGCCCGACCCGGGGCTCAAACTCACAAACTGTGAGATCATGACCTGAGCTGAAGTCAGACACTTAACTGCCACCCAGGTGCCCCAACTGTTAATCTTTTAATTTTAGCTATTCTAGTGGGTATGAGGAGGCATCTCACTGAGGTTTTAATTTGCATTTTGCATAAATAGTGACAAAGAACTTTTTCATATACTTAAATGGCTATTTTGATGTCTTTTTTGGTGAAAGACCCTTGACATTTTTTTGCCCATTTTTCAAATTGGGTTATTTGATTTTTTATTATGAGGTTGTAGGAGTTATTTATATATTTTGGTTACAAGTCCTTTGTCAAATGTGTGTGAGTGTGTACATGTGATACACTGAATATCTTCTCTCAGATTGTGGCTTGCCTCTTCAAATTTTAAATGGTGTGTTTTGGTGAACAAGTGTTTACAGTTGAACCTTAACTCATTAATTTTTTTCTTTTATAATTGGTATATTTTGTCTCCTGTCTATAAAATCTTTGCCTGCAGCCAGATTGTTAAAATAATCTCCTATGTTTTCTTTTAGAAACTTTGTATTTTCAGCTTTTATGTTGTATTCTATGACCCCATCTTAAATTAATTTTTGTGTACAGTGTGAGATAGAGGTTGAGGTTCTTTTTTTTTCATAAACATATTCAACTGTTCCAGCATTGTTTGTTGAAGAGATGTTTCTCTTTGCATTGAATTGCCTTGCTGCCTTTGTTGAAAATCAATTTACTGTGTGTGAGTCTATTCTTGATTCTCTGTTTTGTCCTACTGATCTATTTGCCCAAACTTATGCCAATTTACATTGCTTTAATTTTTGTTGCTTTATAATAAGTCTTGAAGTCAGGTCCTATAAGTTGTCCAAATCTGTTAATTTTTTGAAACTTCTTTTAGCTATTCTAGGTCCTTCGTATTTTCATTTGAATTTCAGAATTAGCCCGGAAATTTCTATTTTAAAAAGCCTCTTGGGGGGCACCTGGGTGGCTCAGTCGGTTAAGCATCTGACATCGCCTCAGGTCATGATCTTTCGGTTCACGAGTATGAGCCCCATGTCAGGCTCTGTGCTAACAGCTCAGAGCCTGGAGCCTGCCTCAGATTCTGTGTCTCTCTCTCTTTCTGCTTCTCCCCTGCTAGCACTCTGTCTCTCTCTCAAACATAAATAAACGTTAAAAAAAATACTTAAAAAATTAAAAAAAAAAAAAAAGCCTGTTGGAATTTTGATTGGAATTGCACTGAATCTAGACGTCAGTTTCAGGAGAATTAACAATATTGAGGATTCTAATCCATGAACATGGTAGCTCTCTCCATTTATTTACTGTCTTTAATTTCTTTCTGCAAAGTTTTCTGGTTTTCAATGTATAGTTCCTACATATTTTTTTGTCAAATTTATCCTAAGTATTTCATGTTTTTTGACGCAATTGTATAAATTTGTATTTTTAAAATAAATTTCATTTTCCAGTTGTTTGTTGTTAACATACAGGAATACAATTGGCTTTTTTTTTTTCTTAAATGTTTATTTTTGAGAGAGAGTGAGTAGGGGAGGGGCAGGGAGAGAGGGGGACAGAGGATCTGCAGCAGGCTCCAGGCTCCGCGCTGTTAGCACAGAGCCTGACGCAGGGCTGGAACCCACAAACTGCGAGATCATGACCTGAGGTGAAGTCGGACATTCAACCGACTGAGCCACCAAGCGCCCCTATAATTGGCTTTTGTATGTTAACCTTGTATCCTGTGACTTTGTTAAATTCAAGGATTTAAGGAGAGTTTGTTTGGAGATTTTGGGGCATTTCCTTTTGTGGTTCCCATCTTTCTGGGGTTTTCTACTCCCAGCAGTCCCAAGCTCTGATCTCCAACTCCTCTGCCCAAGACTGCTGCTTTTTGCATGAACTCTTTATGCCAGGCAAAGAGACAGAGAGTGCCCATGAAGGGAAAACTGGATATGTGGCTCTCATGCAGTGTGGTTTCTAACCCTCCTGCTTTTGGTCCTTCTCTAATGACTTCAAAACAATAGTTTTTTAATATTTTGTACAGAGCTCACAATTGGTACTTGTAGAAGTATTAGTCTGATACAAACTATTCCACCATCCCCACAAGCTAGAACTATGTGTCTAAGTTTAAATTTAAACATTTCATAGATTTCAAATTTCCTCAATCTCTAAGCCAAGTCCTTATTGGCTAACACTCTATTACCGGCTGTAAAGATATCTCAATTTTCTTATTCAAAATAATATTCTGAATACTTTTAAAAGAATGGGATTTGTGTTAGTTTGAACCTTCTTCTGGCCCAAATGATTGACTTTTTCCTCTTTGCCCTCCTCATCTCCAGGCTGCAGCTCACAGAACCAGCCCCCTCTTGTTTAGAAACTCTCTCTGGCTTCTCTGATATGGTGTTCTCTAGGCTTTTGGATGCCTTTTTGTTTTCTTCACTGCTTGTTCAGCCATTCAGTTTTGGGCCCTTGTTTTTCTGACCATACTTGATACCCAAGAAAATATAAGTAGGTAAGAAAACATTTTTGCATGAAATAGGGAATTCACTGAGGGAGACCAACCACCCTGGAGGTCCTTCAAAGTAAACTGTTCACAAGAGGGCATTTGGATGGCCAAATTGTTCACAGTGACTTATTCTGCAATAAATTGCTTCTACTGGTTTTGTAGTAGAAGGGAGTGGGTAAGATTGGTAGACTGAAGGCAGAGAAGATTCTTTGAACTCTAGATGCTTTAAGTATCTCTAGTCTAGTCTAGTCTAGTCTAGTCTAGTCTAGTCTAGTCTTGAAGTGCTTCCTTTCTTACAGGTGATGTATCAGATGGGTTATATAGCATTTATAAAGTATTTTTTTTTTCAACGTTTATTTATTTTTGGGACAGAGAGAGACAGAGCATGAACGGGGGAGGGGCAGAGAGAGAGGGAGACACAGAATCGGAAACAGGCTCCAGGCTCTGAGCCATCAGCCCAGAGCCTGACGTGGGGCTCAAACTCATGGACCGCGAGATTGTGACCTGGCTGAAGTCGGACGCTTAACCGACTGCGCCACCCAGGCGCCCCGGGTTATATAGCATTTAAAGATGAAATAAAGAAATGCTACTTCCTTTTAACTTAGTATCCGAGTAAAAATGAGAGTAAAGTGGTCTTTTCAATTACTTAAAAACAAGATAATTAATGATAAAATACTTCTATTCCATGTATAGTAATTTGCTCCTACCTGTTGTTAAAATTAGTACAGTAAGTAAGATTTCTACAGCCCAACTGGCAAGGTTCCCGGACATCTGCTAAACAGGTCAACATGGACACTTCCACTGGATTGTATTCACAAAAGCGATCAAACTCTTGCCAACTCTGTGTATTGCCCCAGCTCATGCTATAAAGTTTAGTGCACAGTTCCCTAAAACAAAGGCACAAATATAGAAACACAGGTGAGCCAAGTGAATACATAGTTTAGAATATGAACAAGAAAAAAGTACAAAAACCAAAAGACTAAAATTTATCCCCTAGAATTTAGAGCCATAAGCAGAACTTTTCCATGAAAGTGTTAACCTTCTTTTATTACCCATCTCTTTCCTTTATGCCATGGTTGCTACAAAGCTCAGTGCTAAAGGTAATGTTTAATTATATTTGTACATCTTTATTCTTGGCACAATTATCTCTTCCATTTCTGATCCCTCTTTTACCTTTCACGTAAGATAAGGCATACAGTTTTTCCTCCACAAAGATAGATTCCCCTATATTTATATTTATTTACTTCCTATAAATAAAGTAAAACTGTGTAGTAAACCTGTGACAAGGTCCTCAGACCTAAGAAGCTTTACAGACTTAGGGTTCACTAGTTTCTCCCTGAAAAATTATCCCAAAGTCATTTATCTTCCTTAAGATACACCCAGATAGTCTACATGCAAAGGCTTATGAATTCCAAAGCTTCTATATACTATTGTAGTTAATACATGACAATCTTATTTGTAGTACTTGATGATTACAAAGCAACTTGACTACATGCATATAACTAAAATAATATCAGTACCATTTCTCAAGTGCCTTCAAATTAGTTTAATCTTTAAAATTTATAAATGTAATAAAAATGTAAAAAAACATAATATAAAATTTAATACTACCAAAATACAAAGTCATAAGTAAAAATTCTCCACTCCTACCACATTTTATTTGACTCTCATTATTAAACCTTTAAGGAGGATGTCTTTACGTTTATAAGTTTGTTCATTCATTCTACTGATTTTTACTGAGTGCCTATTTTGTGTTAGACCCTTTCAAGGCATTGGATATTCAGTGGTAAATAAGAGAGACGGGTCCCTGCTCTCAATGGAGCTTATACATCATAGAGATAAAGAAGGAGGGATCAAGTTATATTAGGTACTTTGAGCTGGGAACCAGTCCTTTCTCTAGCCCTTAACTTTCTCTATGACCTTGGACAGACTGTTTAATAACATCTCAGAATTAGTTTTCTATATATAAGCAAGAATTACACAAACTGACACCGTAAGATGTCATAAACTGACATCATAAGGTGATACAATCATAATGTTTCATGAAGAGGAAATAAGATGGAAATAAACCACAAAACCTTACATCAAGGTAAGGCAGGGCAAAGTGTTTTTCAGTGAAGTTCTTCTAGGATAACACAGAGATTCCAATCTCCAATGGCTTTAGGGCATAAACTCTTTTAAAGACATTCAAAGAATTACTCAGCATCCCTGTCATAAATATATTTATTAATGCAATCCAATTTCCTTAATTACAGGACCAAATTAACTTCTCTTTAAGATCTTCTGTTAATTTTCTTTGGATATTTTCCAGTTTTTTTAAATATCTTTGGTAAAGTTTGATGAGCTACTCTAGGCACAATTTTTGCTAAAGGTCCATTCCATTTAGAAACCACAGAAAAGACTGTTTCATTCCTGTAGATGATATTAATTTCAGGATGTTCTAGTAATATATACTTCTTTTTCACCTAAAATCTCCCTAATAAAGCAAACTTCTATTTCTCCCTAATAAAGCAAACTTCTATTTCTACCATGACCTTAGTAATCTCCATTTATTGTTGTCTCTAGATTGTTTCTTCCATCTTATATTTGTGTTAATTTTTTATCCCTAAGTGTATCATCCAAATGAATGCTAATACACTGCTATCTACCTTTGTGTATGAGTGCCAATCCAGATCATTCACCAATATATGCAAAAGGTTGGTTAATGTTCAAAGTTTCATAATTTAACAAAGAGAAATATGCCTTAGACGTCAGATCAAAACATCTTCTAAACTGTAAGCTTACTTAATGATAGCCTTGAGGGTAGAATCCAAATTGCACCATCTTTAAATATTTATTATCCTTCCAATGCTAATCCTCTATACCCCCAAACACAGTTCTTTTAGCACTTGATGTTCAAAAACGATGTTTTCTATAAACAACACTCAATAAATATTTGCTAGATGAAAGAGTTTGTATCTTCTCAATTCCTGAGTTTATATCTTCTCAACTCCTGATGAAAGAGTTTATATCTTCCCAACTCCTGCAAGAATGTAACATACATTTGCTAGCACTTAAAATCACGAATTAAAATGCTATTTTCTACTGGTTTTAATAAAGGAAAATGAGATACTGACCTACATGTTGAAGTGTTTGCTTTAGAACAACAATGCAATTTAGCCCCATCAAGGCCCGTAGAGGGAGGAGGATGTAGAGTGACTCCAGGGTGAACAGATTGTGAGCTTTCAAGAAAACACTGCCAAAGAGGATCCTGAGGCAAAGGCTGAGTTTTACAACCCTCGATGAGGCCATCAACAATCTCCATTTCTGTTTTCTTAGACATCAGAATTCTCTTGCAGGCATTTTGGCAAGCATGGTCTTCAGCTCTGTCACAGCAATATAAACCTACGTTTTCAGGATACATGTGGCTTAATTAGCTGATTTTATGTCACACACTGCTCAGAACAGAAGAACATGGTGGTGTACTGGAAACAATACCACTCAATCACATGTCAATATCTGCAGTACACAGGGCCTACCAAATTTTCTCTCCATTACTTTGCAGCATAGCAAATAGATACCTACGTGGACTAGGTATCTATTTCCAGAATTCACCACTGTCCCAGTCATGGGACCTTTGGCATCAATTCTACATAAATGAAAGGTCACTCGTCTTCCACCTGAGAAGCCCTTACATGTAAAGTATCTTAAGTTCTTGGAAAAGGTACTATACATTAAACTGGAATTATTTCATCCTAGAAACAACTGCCTAAAAGGGATTACGTTCTTGGCAGAGTGAGAGAGGAATAATTTCAATAGCAAAAACCACAAACACCATATTTCATGACATTCTGGGATATAAAGCTCTTATATATCTATACAAGTTAATCAATCTAAGTTGTAATTTAAATAATACAATAGCAAACTGTGACAAAATGTCAGTTTCCTTCTGCTTTTAATTTTCTACAAAGAATCAGAAAATTAAAGCACTTCCAATCAGATTACAGATTTCAGAAGGGGTTCTTTGAAGTAGTTTTCTCAGGTGTCTTTGACTTTTTAAGAAACGTATTCAGGACAGCTTTCTTTTCCAGATTTCCTATGTATCAGTATAGACATTTGAGATGGTTGTTCTTCTACCCTTAAAACATCTTGCTGGTTTTTGTTTTTGTTTGTTTATTTATACTTTGAGCTGCTACCACCTTAGCTCCAGCAGCACCTCTGTATAGCCTAAATGTCAATTTCTATAACTCTGCCTTTAAAATGAATGAAGATCATTTGTGGCAAATGCTTCATCCTCTGATATTCACCATGCAGCCACACCACAGTACGTCATAAGCTTTAGAGCTCTCCTTTAGATGCTGGACTTACAGGGCACATAGCACTGCTTCTGAGTTTACAAAAACAAGTCTTTCAGTATCCCAGTATAAATCAAAACACTGGCATCCAGCTTATAAATCTTGTCTTTTGTCAGTTTGGTTAATTAGTCAATTGTTTAAAGTTTGTTCATCTCTAAATAAAGAAGATGGATAATAGGATGTACAAAGCTGAGACTTTGAAGACCCGTAAGGTGCAGGTTCATTAGGAGGCCCTGATTTTCAAAAGTATCAGGATTTCTTCTCATTTTTATGATGCTTTTATTATAAAAGTAATAACTGCTCACCATAAAAATTCAAGCATCACAAAAACACATAAATGTAGAATAGGTATATAACTAACCATATTATACAGTTAGTTCTACAACTTGCTTTTTTTTATTAGGTCTTGGACTTTCTATATAAACATACTTTTTTCTTTATTTGGATTACATAGTATTTTTATTATACAGATATATAATTTATTTCATCAATTTTAATCAATACCCTATTGATGGGTATTTGAGTTATTTCTAATTTTTCTCCATTACCATCAGTGTTGTAGCAAACATCTTTCACGTGCGTAGATATATTTTTGCAAATTTATGAGTTTTCTTGAAGGAGAAATTCTAAGAAATGGGATTCTTAGATTAAAAGGTATGGTCATTTGAAATTCTATTTGAATTTCCTATCAAAATATCCATACCAATGAATTCTCCCATCCTCAGAAACAGAGTGCTTGCTTCCTCATACCGTTGACAGCTCTATCTTTCTTGGTACCTTTCAGCTGTGACCATAATATCCAATCTGCCAAATCTAAACACCAAAGGAAGTCTGGTGTTTCCCAAATGACCGAGACTACAGATATCTACAAGAATTTACTTCCTTTTTACAAATTATTTTACCAAAGATTGAAACAAGAGAAATATATCAATTTTACTTACTATCTGTTGGGTTCCTCATTGGATAAGATTGGGTGTAATTGTTCACACAGTGTATTAACTGTGGACTAATAGAGGCACAATAGTTTTCCACTGCTTTGATCTGAGATGGGCCAGGAGAAGAGTCTGTTCGAAAGATGGCTTGACAGTATTCTCGGCAGTTTGTGTGATGGCCTGCATAACTGCAACAAACTGAGCCCACTGAGGGGGAAAAAAGGAGAGGTTGTTGGAATGGAAACAGCTATTTGGTAACAATAAAGCATCATAATATTGATAGAACAATTCGCAACTTTTTGAATTGGAGAATAAAACCATGCCACAGAAGACAATTCCTTTAAATCAGCACTACTTTCAGAATAGTATACTCCAAATAAGACATTTCGGAATAGGACATTCAGGTGCTCACTGGTACAAGGAAGTCTTATTTGTCAACTTAGAATCTATATAGTCCAGTGAGTCTCGGCAGGAGCAGCACACCCCTGTGGGAGACTATGGAGACACGTGGAAGTATTTTTGGCTTTCATGATGACTTGGGGAGCTACTGCTAATATTTAGTGCATGGGGACCAGGGCTGTTTACTCTGCAATGTACAGGGCATTCTCACAGCGCCAAAACTGTCTCCAAAAATGCTAATACTGCCCATGCTGAGAACCGCGGGCACAATTTCTTTTCATGTTAGACTTGTGGAGATTTATAAACAAAGCAAGGCAAACAAAGCCAAAATAAAACAAGACCCCTCCGGGGGGGGGGGGGGTTATAAAATAGGACGAGTAAAAACTAAGAGATATCAGGCTCATTTCATAAATTTGACAGTTATATAACTGTATATCTTGAAAGAAATCTCAAAAGTTCTGTTCCATTTGAACATCTCCAAGGACATGCCTAAGTTGAAACAGTCTTTACCTCACAACTGATGTGAGCTGCTTTAATACTGAAAAGTAAACCCTGCATTTGAAATACATTTATGGATTTATGTATTTTTAGAAATCAAGGAGGAACCATCTCAGGTATCTGGGGAGAGCTGGATGCGTGGCTAGGGGTACAGATGTGGGATTTAAACTGGAGAAGAAAAAAAGACCCTCACAGGAGAGGTTAGGGGGTCTGTGGAGGGCTTAAGGGAACCAAGATGGAGATATGGCAGGAAAACAGGTAAGAGAAAGGCAGGTAGGAAATCTCTGATAATTATTAGAGGTGGTGGAGGAACGAGAATCAGGTTTCTGGTGAATTCCACAGACCAGGGAATGAGCAGGGAATCCAAGCAACTTCCAGAAATAATGACAATGATAAAACTATATGCAAATTAAACTAGGACTGAACTGATGGCAGGATAGGCCTTGGTTTCCTGCACCAGGAAACAGTTTCATAATTACTGTGCCACCTGTTTTTAACTTGTAATTACTACTTACTGTGCTCACTGCTGAACTGTTCGATTTCAACACAAAGAATAATTAATGGCTACATTTATCACTGTTAACCTTAGTGAGGATAAACTGAGGGATGGGGGAATACTGAGGACAGAAGAGATAGGTGAGAATAAGCCAAGGATGCCCATCTTCTGATTCCTCCATGAGGCTGGCTTCCTCACTAGTGTGGGAGGACAAAGATTATGTGCGACACTATCTGGGAAACTGTGAATTAAGCCCTAGTTTGCGAGGGTTAGAAGATAAAGTGCAGCCAGCTAATGTTTCTTATTATACTTTGATAAACCAAACTGCCAAACTAATCCAAACAACTCTTCTGTTCCTCAGCTGTGTTTTCCCAGCTGTAACTGCTCTCACTACTCCCTTTACCTGTGATGCCTTTCTTCCCATCTGCACTGTTCATATCTTGTCCATCCTTCAAGGCCCAGCTCAGCTACCAACTCCATGAAGCCACCTCTAAAACCCTGGCAGGGGGTGCCTGGGTGGCTCAGTCGGTTGGGCGGCTGATTTCGGCTCGGGTCATGATCTCATGGCTCGGCTCGTTTGAGCCCCGCGTCGGGCTCTGTGCTGACAGCTCAGAGCCTGAAGCCTGCTTCGGATTGTGTCCCCCCCTCTCTCTACCCTACCCCCGCTGGCACTCTGTCTCAAAGGTAAATAAACATAAAAAAAATTTTTTTTTAAACCCCGGCAGGATGTGATCCCTCCTTCCTCTAAACTCATGCAGCAATTTTATCAGTGCCACTATCCCATATCCTCCATGTTCTAGAGTTTTTTTGTGCACAGATTGTGTCCTCACGTGCATGTATGTCTGCACAGAGCAAGCAGTCAGTAAACATCTGCTGAGTGAACTGAGAGGAAGCCTTCAGCAAGTGCTACATTGTATGACCTGGGAATGCTTAATTTCTGTAAGTAATCCTATTTATTCAAGGAGAGCATGATATTCCCATCTAACAGCAGTATCTGCTTTGTAAATCTGCATTTAAGACATGGCAATTGTCATAATTCATGAATGGCCTGGACACCCTAGAGGAAAGAGACTATGAGAACCCTGATGGGCTTTTAGGCAGCTTACTAACAGCCCACATCATAATGCCAGGTCTTGGCAATATTTATAACAGCTAAATCGTATTCTGTAAACTGTGTTTTGCTCCTTGGACTGCTCATATAACCATTGACAAAATACTTACTTTCATTTCTGCTAATGCAACTGAAAAGAGCATTCTGCAAATTAAAGAAAAACAAACAAATTAACCACCATGTAGAATTTCTAATTTTATTCCACTTTATGGTTACATGGAAATCAGAATATCAAACTATTTAATTCTTCTCCAAATCCAAAGCTGAGGATGAAGAAACTGAGATGGCATCCTGGTGAAAAAAGAAACCACTATCTAACACATACTGGGGGTCAAGATCCTCATCCTGAGCCATAAGCTGATCATGTTATAGCAAACCATGTTTATGTAAAGCTGTACCTGTGTATGTGGGGGTAACCTACAATGTATTAATCTCAATTATCTCTTGCAGTATATAAAAGGGCTCCCAGAAGATAATATAATAAAAGGTATTTAGGGAAACAGAGATTTCATGTAACTGCTGCATTTTAGAGTTGAAACGTGCTTAGAGAGCATCCCTAATTGTTCTCAAACATGGCCATGCACTAGAATCACCTGGGCTTCCTAGGCCTTACTCTACACTTACAGAATCAGAATCTGGGAATGAACCACAGAAATCTACATATTAAGGCTTCCAAGATTATTCTTATGTAATTATTGAATCACTATATTGTACTCCTGAAACTAATATTAACACTGTTTGTTAATTTTACTAGAATTAAAATAAAAAATAAAAAGATGATTCTTACATAGTCACCCTGGGATGTTGGGGTATCTCTCTACCATTTTAAAGATGAACAAACCGTTTCCTCATCAGAGGGGAAACTGCCCCAGGTTACAGAGCAAGTCAAAAGCAGATAATGAGAATAGAATTAGTATTTCTAGAGTTCTTAGATCACTGTTCAGAAAATATCACACTATGTTAAAGTCACTGTAAGGAAAATAAGAGGTAAAACAAGACGAAAACAAAAAACTCCTTGTTCAAAGCCATTTGGATATTTAGAGCCTACGGGCTATGATTAATATCTCTTACAAGTAAAAGAATGAATTCCTAAAAGAAATAATATAGGCATAAATAAAAGGTAGATGGAAATCAAGTGCTCTTACAGTTGAATAGAGATGACTTTGGCTTTTAGTTGTAGCTAAATCATAAGCCGGCTATGTGATCTGGACTTTTAAAAGGACCAGCTTTACTGACATTTAAAATCTACCTTCAAGGATCCATCTATGTAGTTGTGTGAAGCTGTACTACATTCATTTTCTCCACTAAATAATATTCTACTGTAGAAATAAACCATACTCTATCCATTTAAAACAAAAACAAAACAAAAACCCAGGCCTCACAGATAAGGGCTAATGAATTGGATCAGTATGACTTCTTTCTGCTAGGGCTCTCATCAAGCAATATGAGGGGTGAAAATAAACATTCTTGGTGTTCTTTAATACTCATTTCTAGATCTCTCTTCATCTATTTTTCTTTGTTTGACTTTTCAACTACCTGTTACAGATAGCCATCTATTTTGGTCGTGGTTTTAGGAACACTTTCCATAAAATGATCTAAATCAATATTAAAAAGCAATCTGCTACGGACTTTCCAGCCCCCTTTGATTCTCATTGTCTTTCTTTTTCTAATAAACTGGTTGTTCTTTTGGGTTTGGCTGTTTTGACCTTGTACTTGAAGGAGTACATTTATTATCTTGGTGGCCATCCTGAGTCGCATGGCCTGATCTCCAGTTTTGATATTCTTCCAATTACTCATACAAGTCTCCAGAGCAGTGGTTCTCAACTAAGGGTGATTTGCTTCCCAGGGGACATTTGGCAATATCTGGAGACATTTTTCGTTGTCATAACTGGAGAAGCAGCATGTGCTATTGGGATCTAATGGGTAGAGGAGTCCAGAGATGCTGTAAACATCCTACAGTGCGCATGGCAGCTCCCTGACAACAATAACAAACAACAGCCCAAAATATCAATAGTGCCAAGGTTCGGACACCCTGTTCTAAAGACTTCCAAATTTGTTCAAGCTGGAATTTTGGAAATTTGACCTTCCAAATAAAAGAAATATCACTCTGAGTTGACGTGTAGATCACTTCACTTTAGAGAGATACTAAAGGAAGGACACAAAACCTGAAAAATGTCAGCGATCACCTAATTCAACCCCTTATTTGACCAAAGCCAGTGATGGAGGCCTAAAAAGGAGAACTCTAGCTTTTACCCACAAATGGGTTGGCAGACTATGGCACACAGGCCAAATCTTGCCTGCTGCCTACTTTTGTAAATGAAGTTTTATTGGAACAGTCACACCCATTTGTTTACATACTGTATATGGCTACTTGATACTACAATGGTAGAGTTGAACAGACAGAGGCCATACAAACTGCAAGCCTGAAATATTTGAGATCTGACCCTTTACAGAAAAAGTTTGCCAACCCCTGATGTAGGAGGGCACAACTGTCTCCCTCCATGGCACAACCAGACTTCAGAAATGTTCCCTAAGCACCTCTCATTTCTCTTAATGTTCATTGATAGACCTTTCAAGGATAGATTTACCTTAATTTATCAAACTAAAAACATTCATATTTCAACACGGCAGTACCTTTGGTATTGATACCATTTTTACATCTCTATTTTTATCTTTACTAATTTTAAGGTTTTAAAGAATGGTCCTTCATTTAAATATACCAGTTTTTGAAGAATTCATCAATTCTCTGTTGCTTACTTCATACTCATGATTTCAAACTCTGATCATATCCCTCTCTTTAATAAAGGATTCTTAACCTTAGGATACCTTAGCTAACTATATCTATTATATGAACTATAAGCAACTCTACCTTTTCACTGCTTAAACTATTGCTGATTAGTTTGACAGGTCTTAAGACACACATAATGAGTTACACCATTAACTTATAATTTCTTCATCTCTTAAGACATTTCTTAACTCCTGGAAATGTCTGGTCGCCATCTGGTGGCAAAGGAGGTAACTGAGGCTTTATACTAAAGTATGGAGCCTCTTCTGACCTTTTGCCACCAATACTATACCCACTGTGCCTCCATAGATCAGCTCCCCCGCTCCGTTCATCTTACTCTAGAATAGATAAAAATTACAGTGTTACCAAGATGAAGATCTACCACACCTCAGAGACCCAAGAACACAGGCAGATCCCAAGAGATCTGCAAATCCAAGAGCCTTCACTATCCAGCTGGAGACAGATGTACACAGCAAACAAAGGGCAGAGCCAGGGCTACAACCCAGACTGCTCTCTCATGACACTATACCGTAAGAAGACTGGATTCTTTTTTTGAATGAGGCCAATGCAAGGTTGCATTTATGTCCACAGAATAATATCTTTTCAACAGTCTCCTTTTTTAGAATCAACACATTAAACTGCGGGGAAAACAATCATTTCTTGAGGGTAATATTATTTCCCTTAAAGATACTTGATCATGAACTCTTTCCTCAGGTAGCTACTTCCAGTTCTCTGCCCTACTCTTGCTGGTTTTGAGAGAACTGCAGCAAGCCCTTCCACCCAGCGCTGGGTTGCCCAGAGGGCAAACCCGGCAGAAAAACTAAAATACAAAGTAAAATCAAAGTAAAGGGAACCATATGTGATCCTTCAAGCCACACTGACGCTCCTTTAGGTGAAGAGCCATCGGGGTGCATCTGGGAGATAGACTTTCCTGGTCAAATCACTTGTTCAGAAGTTGGGTCCGTGGATCTATTTTCTGTCCCGGCCACACACACTTTTCCATTTCTGGGACTCCTTTCTAACATTTCTCCATTTGTCCACTCATCTCAATCCTTTCCCTGGCCACCACCCTTCTGCTTCTGGTTCTCCCAGCTCCCTCCCCATCCTCACCAATGATGAGGATGATGAAAACAAAACAAACACTGACCACATGAATCTTGTAAAAAAAAAAAAAAAAAAGAAAGAAAGAAAGTTTGACTTTAGAAGTTTTAGTTACTTCTGCACAAAGACCCAAAAGAGAACATTTTATAAACTGTTATTTAAGAGTCTCTGGGAGGGAGGGGAAAGTGGGTGATGGGCATTGAGGGGGGCACCTGTTGGGATGAGCACTGGGTGTTGTATGGAAACCAATTTGACAGTAAATTTCATATATAAAATAAAGAAAGAAAGAAAAAAAGAAAGAAATATTAAAAAAAACACATAACCTGTTATTTAATGTTCCCTATTCCCAAGGCTACTAGTTAAAAGTAAAGGAGCTGCTTTATTCCTAAGGCCTCAAAAATAAAATGTTTCTTTTTCATAAATGGACTGAAATTTCTCCCACTTTGAAGTTTTGCATTTCGTATGAGGAATCTAGCTCATCAAATGCTACGTTGGAGATATTAAATAAGTGACCTTTATTTTATTTTCAGTAAGCTCTATGCCCAATGTGGGACTTGAACTCACAACCCCAAGACCAAGGGTTGCATGCTCTACACACTGAGCTAGGCAGGCACCCCTCCATAATTGCCCTTTAAAAACAAACATGTTTTTAAACCTCTACAAGATGTTTTTTCCTTGTTGTGGACACTATGGCTTTTTAGTTAAAAAGTTTAAGCGACTAGATTATGTAAAGGATTTAATAGCATGATATGGATATCGCTAAACAAGTGATTCTTCAATTTCTTCAGCCTCCCAAATAGTAAATATCATTTTAAGAGTTGGATAAAAACAAACACCCACAACTAAAATAAGATTAATAGGTCTAGACTGCTCAAAGAAATTTGCTCATTATCACCAGAGCATCCAACCAACTGGAAGCAAATTCAAGGGCAAGTAATATCTGCAGTGTAACACAAGATCTAGAACAGAACTCAGCACAGAGTGTTTGTGGTAGAGTGACTGTAATGATAGCCCCAGTTCTTCACATTTCCCCCTATCTCTCTCTCTCTCACATTAACTTTGGACTTAGCCATGTGGTTTTTTGGTCAAGTGGATAGTAGCAAGCTTAAAGCAAGCAGAGGCGTGCACAGACACTTGCATCTTTCCACTCCCTCTCTTGGGCCCCTGTCATCACCACGGGAAACATGACTGAGAGGGCTAGAAGACACACATGGAGGAGAGCTGAGCTGACTTAGCTAAGAGCATCGTAAGTCAGCTA